TTCCCCCCTGTGCTTGGAGCCCTCTTGGGAGGCTCCATCCTGCTCCATCCAACATCCCAGTCTGGTGAGAAGAGGACCACGTGGTCCTCTCTGAAGTGGGCCCCTTTGCTCTGCGAAGAACAACTGGACGGAGTGGGAGCCTGGTCCGCAAAAGAGGGCCGATGATTCCTCCTTCCATAAGCCATGGATGCCCAGAGGCTCCCTGGCCTTGCTTGGCTCCACGCTCGGCTCCCACGCAAGGAGGCCTCTCTCCAAAAGCACTTCGGATTGCGGAGAACGCGGATAATCAAGGATGCTTTGGAGTAATTAGTCAATGACTGACACCCACAGTTTCCCATGACGCCTTCGACAATTACATGTTCCTGATTTTGAGAGAAAAGGAGAGGCAGAAGCAACTGGAATCTGGCTGGCCAAAGACAGAATGGTGGGGGGGGGGCACCTGCAACCTTCCCATTAGGGGACTTGTCCTCTTCCTCCCTGCAGGCAGATCCCTGCCCAGGCCCTGGGAGCCGAGCTGCTCTCCTTTCCTGTCCCTCCAGCGTCTGCTGGGCCACCTGCTTTGGGGGGGTCCACGCTCACCACAACAGGACGACCGTGGTCTCCTCCGTGGGAGCCCCTCGGGACCAAGAGCCTTCTCCAGCCTTCTGCCCGCTTCACCCCCCCCACCAGGACTTAGCCGCGTCAGACACGGCTGGGCAGGGGAAACCTTTAGCTTTTCTCTTCTTTTTATATCCCACCCCCCCTTCTGGAGGACCCCCTCCCCACGGCTCTCAGCTGGCATTCCCAACCTGGACCCGTCTTTGAAGGATATTCCCAGGTGCAGCTATTCTGGCTTCTCCAATATTCCTCTCCATGGATCACACACGACCTATTATTTTTCTAGCGGTATTTGCATATCTAAGTTTCTCCAGCAATTTCCCCAGCCTTAGTAAACCTTCTGGCAAGGTGCAGATATCTGCTAGTTCTGAGGTTGGGTGGGTTTTTTTTTCTTTTTTTTTTTGCCATTTACGTACAACCTGCAATTGTTCAATCCATTTTCTCCGTCAAAGGCAACCACTTCTATATCTCTGTCACATTAACTTTCAAATCCATGTTCCTCACTGCACCCTCCGGCCTATGGAACCGTCCACCCAGCGCTGTTTCTCAGATAATGACGCCGCTTCACATGGATGCCAAAGCCCCCCTCCCTCCATCGGCCCAGCCCAGACGCCCTGAACGCCACTGCAAACCTTCCTTAAACATCTTCCACCCATAAAGCAATCAAGGGACTTGGCACATCTTTCTTTGACTCCCTGTACAATATTCTGCTTATTTTCTTGCATGCTTTACTGGTGTCACACACTGCTCATCGCATTCAGCCATCCGTATTCAGACTGATAGATAGATAGATAGATAATAGATGATAGAGATGATAGGTGATAGATAGATGGATAGATAGATGAAATAGATGATAGATAGATAGATAGATAATAAATGATAGAGATGATAGATGATAAATAGATGGATAGATGATAGATAGATGAAATAGATGATAGATAGATAGATAGATAGATAGATAGATAGATAGATAGATAGATAGACAGATAGATAATCTTTATTGTCATTTTTTACTGTAGGCACAATGGCACACATTAAAAATGAAATTTAGTTGCTTGCTCTCAAAGTGTACACATACATAACACACATTTAAACATACTATATACAACATACGTATATAGACCAGGGGTCTGCAATCTTGGCAACTTTAAGACTTGTGGACTTCAGCTATGCTGGCTGAGGAATTCTGGGAGCTGAAGTCCACAAGTCTTAAAGTTGTCCAAGTTGCAGACCCCTGATATAGACCTACACCCTTACATATAAGTAACATGTAAATATTAATCACAATTTCTGCTGGACATCATTCTTTCCTTAGGATTGCATTTTCCCCTTGGGGTCAGACTGTTGCCTGGGGTTCCGTCTGTGATCCACCAAGCGATCCAGATGCCTTTGGAGTTTACTGCCGTGCTCACAGCATATTCCCTCCCCAGCCCCACGGTGTTGTGTTTGATTTTCTGATCCACCTGAAGGACTTGGCATTTGTCCAGGCTGAACTCCATCCTGCGGCTTTCTACCCAGGGTTCCTGCCTCTCAAGACACTCTTGAATCCTGACGCTGTCCTTCATGAGGTCTGCCGTCTCCCATGCATGTGTGACCTCTGCAAACTTAACAATCCTGTTTCTTAACTCCTCATCAGGCGTCTCAGGGCCTGCAAATGGAGACTCGCGATGTGTTGTGAACACTTCCTGACAACTTTTTCTGCCGAGCCTTTTGTCTTACGCTCCCTGGCTAGGCACCTTCAGCCAGCCTTGCTCCTCTAGCGGGATCCTGCACACGTCTGCCTGTGCTCGACTCCCTGGGGCTCTTGACGAGAAGCTCCGCTAAAGTCAAGTTAAGATGCCCTTCACTGCCTTCCGGTCATTATTTGTAAAGGTCACTATCACAAACATTCTAAGGCCCAGGGCAGTGTTGGTCAACCTGAGCAACTTGCAGTGGACTTCAACTCCCAGAATTCCTCAGCCACCCACATCACTCCTTGGGGGAGCATCACTGCTAACAAACACGTTAAACATGTTAAAAAGATTTAAGACATACAAAGAACGGCCGCAGGAATCGGGCATGGCCAGTCCAGAGAAAAGGAGGACTAGGGGGGACGCGAGCAGCCTTCCAGTATTTCAGGGGCTGCCACAAAGAAGAGGAGGGGGTCCATTTATTTTCCAAAGCATCAGAAGGCAAGACAAGAAGCAACACTGATCAAGGAGAAAAGCAACCTGGAATTAAGGAGAAACTTCCTAACAGTGAGGACAATTAACCGGTGGAACAGCTGGCCCCCAGAAGTTGTGGCTGCTCCAACACTGGAGGTTTTTAAGAAGAGATTGGACAGCCACTTGTCTGAAATGGTATAGGGTCTCCTGCTTGAGCAAGAGGTTGGACTAGCTTTTCAACCTTTTCACCCATTGTGCCACTTTTAGGATATGGCAACATCCGAGGACCACCAGTCGCCTAGCAAGAGGTCAAAAACTTGATGACAAAAAAAAAGGAAAAAAGTGATAAAGTACAGGTAGTCCTCGACTTACAAAAGTTCGCTTAGTGACTGTTCAAAGTTACAATGGCACTGAAAAAAGTGCCCTGCAAGGCACAGCCGAGTAAGACACCTGCCTGCCCACCTGGCGGTGCTCTTCCTCCTGTCCGAGGTTTCCATTGTTGTGAGCATTTCTGTTGAGGATTGGCAGCAGAGGTGGGGTGGGGGGTGTTTGGTTTTTATTCCCCCCGTCTGCTAGGTGGTTGAAGCAGGTTTTGGTCACTTCCCATGACCCTGGGACACTGTGACCGTCATAAATATGAATCCGTTGCCAAGGATCTGAATGTAAATCACAAGACCCTGGAGAGGCTGCAACATTCCAGCTGATCGGCGCTTCTTCTGGGCTCAGCAGAAAGGCCAGGATCAGCGCCGAGCTCCAGCTGAAGCCTGGTGCTGATCCTGGCGCTTCCGCTGAGCCCTGACAGCCCCAAAGAAGTTCTGATCCTGGCACTTCCGCTGAGCCCTGCAGCTCCAGCCATCTCTCGCTCAGGCTTGTGCGATGCTGCCATCGGTTCAGCTCTCCCACTACCACTTTTCTAGGATGGTTGCGTACCACCTGCCAAGTGGCAATGTACCACAGGTGGTACCCGTACCACTGGTTGAAAAGCCCTGGACTAGATGACCTCCAAGGTCCCTTCCAGCTCTATTCTGATTAACTGAAATTGAAACTGTTGAGCCATGATTTGACCACACGGGAAAAGGACGGCTAAAGACAGAACCGCAGGGCTATGACCGTTGCGCTCAGCCAGGGTTAGCCAAACGCAGGCTCTACAGTATTCCCACCTCTGCTGCAAGAGGTAGCTTGGTGATGGGAGCTGATGCAGCCCCCCCAGCTCGATGGTGGCAGGAGGCAATGGAGGAGGAGGAGAAGGAGGAGGAGGAGGAGGAGGGATCCTGCCCACACTCCCCCAGCCACACCGAGAAGCGACAATCCAACAGTGCAAAGCTTCAGGGGGTCCCAGAATGTGCTGAAACATTTTGTGCTCAGAAAAGAGGGCGCTCCTGGAAGGAGGAAAGGGGGGCTGGGGGCTGAAATGAAAGCCAGGCAGTGTGCAAAAATGTGCTGTGTACAGACGGGAGCTTTAGCTGCTTGATGCTCCTTTCCTCTCACACATGTCACATGTAACAGATGTAACACACACAGGACCCACACAGCTGGCAGCCTGCACGACATCTGCTCCTTCTTTCTAGCTTGAAACCTTGCAAGGGTGACCAGCCTGGGCACTGGTATCTCTTAGCCTTCTCCAGGGAGCAGATGTTCCTCAAGTCAGTAGATCTTCTGGACCCAAAATGGCACCCGACTCTTGTTGTTCCTTTCAATGGGCCAGAAATATCCCAGGGGCACCAATCTACCTTATAGGTGTGTCACTAGGGCAGGGGTAGGCAACCTTGGCTCTTTTGTGACCCGTGGACTTCAACTCCCAGAATTCCTCAGCCAGCATGGCTCAGCTTGGAAACCTCTCCCTTTCCCCTCGGCATGGCTGGCTCAGGAATTCTGGGTGTTGAAGTCCGCCATTCATAAAAAGAGCCATTCAGCCATGCTTGCTCAGGAATTCTGGGAGTTGAAGTCCACGAGTCATAAAAGAGTCGAGGTTGCCTACCCCTGCGCTAGGGGAATTGGGGAAAGTTACTGGGGGGGGGCACAGATTTAAGAGGAAAGAGGTGGAGAAGGACAGGGCTTGTCCATCAGGATGAGGAGCAATATAATTTCCTCGGCTAAGGGCAGAAGATCAGTTACTGAAGCTGGTCTCATCATGAGGTCCAGTAGCCTGGAGGCCATCTTATGAAGGCAGCCTCTGGGGCCAGAGGAAGCCAACAATCTGCCATGGGGCACCCCAGTCTTGGATGCCTCTCTTTCTTCTCCCCCCAGAAAGGGTCTTACCTGGCCGGGCGTCGAACTGCCGCATCTGCACTTCCTCGACGCATTCTGCCGGGAACCAGCCTGTCCGTCCTTTCACGGTTCCTTCCCAGAAGCCCCCTTCTCCAATGCTCAGCACTGCGGGGAAAATGGGGGGTGGGGGGACGAGAGTCAGATCCATTGAGGCCGAGCATGGGCTGCTCCTCCCTCAGTGACACAATCCCACCATTCCGGGTGCCCACCTGAGACCCCCGCAGCCCCTCTCACTTCCCACAACATTCCCATTTTTCTACTCATCGGCCTGTTAACAGAATAACTGTTCAAAATTGTATGACTTTTCAATTGTGTGGAAATCTGCATCCATTTCGGTTTGTATTTTTGTAAGCTACCCCCTCTTGCAAGTACTTTTACACTGCCTAGACCCTTAACATGTGCCAAGTTACACAATGCTTCCCCTGCTCTAACCAGTTCCATTTTGCTCCAAAAAAGGCATTTTCTGATTGAACGGCACCCAAAATTTCAAACAACTCCTAAAGCACAGGGAGCATCGCTTTCCCGGTTGCACAACAGCCTGGGCTGTGTGGGTGAGGGTGTGGGCCTTGATCTCTGAAGGGAGCCAGCTGCCCCATCGCAGCTCCGGGCTCTCTGCTTTCCAGCCCCTGGAGGGCTTGGGCTCTCTAGTGTTCTCCCCCCAAGGCACCATCCAGATGCTGGCCAGGGACAGGTGTGGATGGGGCACAGAGAATTCTGGGGTTCACATGGCTGGCTGGGGAATTCTGGGAGTTGAAGTCCACAGGTCTTAAAATTGCCAAGATTGGACTCCCCTGTTTAAAATCTTGGTAGCTACCACCCTGGCAGTCTCTATAGCTGCCCCAGGGAGTGTTAAAAACCTAACAATAGAAATTTAAGATTGCAAATACGTCAATGGCGCCCACCCCTTAACCTAAGGTCCGAAGGTCCCTCTTCGGCTGTGTTGAAATGCCAATAGATATTTCGTCCACTCCCAAACACCTCTGGGGAGAGGGAGAGTGATTCATAAAATGGGGCTGCCCTTTTGAGGGACTCCCAGAATCCCCCAGCTGGCATGCAAATGACTGAAGCAGCAGTAAAAACGCCCGCAAAACTGCCAATGCAATCCTGCCCTGCATTAACAGAGGGATATGTCAAGGTATTAATTTAATAGCTGAACAGCGTATGTAATGGTGTAATGTAATGTAAGATGGATGATGCAATGATAGGAATGACTGAGCAGGGTCTGTGTCTGTATCCCTTTAAGAGCCTGAGTATAAAAGGGAAGGCTTTTGCTGGGGTGTCTCTCTCTCTCTGGTCTGTTTCCTGCTGTGGCTGCTGTGTGTTGGGGTTTGCTATATTACCACGTGTATGTATATTGTTCCTGGTGTACGATATTTGTAGATAATGTATGATAAACCACCATTTAATATGGACCACTGTTTACTGTATTTACTCCTGGGTTATCTCAGCGCAATAAGACTGTGCATGCTCTGACAGGATAGAATCAAGATCACATGAAGTTTTAGTACTGTTTTAGATTGCCTTGTTTGGCTAGGCCACACTTGAAAAACTGCATCCAGTTTTGGTTGCCATGACACAAAACAGATGCTGAGATTCTGGAAAGACAAACAAAGATGATTAGGGAGCTGGAGGCTAAAACATACCAAGAACGGTTCCAGGAATTGGGTATGTCTAGTCTAATTAAAAGGACCAAGGAGTGACAGGATAACATCTTTCAATATTTCAGGGGCTGCCACAAAAAAGAGGGGCGAATCAACCTATTCTCCAAAGCAGAACAAGAAGCAACGGATGGAGACGTATCAAGAAGAGAAGCAACCTGGAACTAAGGAGAAATGTCCTGACAGTGAGGACAATCAACCAGTGGAACAGAAGTTGCCTTCAGAAGTTGTGAGTGCTCCATCACTGGAGGCTTTTAAGAAGAGACTGGACAGCCACTTGTCTGAATTGGTATAGATTCTCCTGTTTGAGCAAGGGGTTGGACTAGAAGACCTCCAAGATCCCTTCCAGTTCTGTTTCTGTAGAGACTGTCCTTCTTTGAGTCCTATTGCCCAGCTTTGCTCGATTGAGGCCAACCAACCACAGCTTGAGAATATGCACCCGGAGGTTAGAAGTATGCCACAATAACAACTAAAAGAGCTTCTATCAATACCCTGAAAATAAAAGAGAGATGAAAGCAACAGGATGCCAGCTGCTGCATGAAAAGAGAAAAAGGCTGTCCCATATCAAAGAGCTGTTCCATTATTCTGGTCCGGCCTTCTTCAACCAAAACGATGCATTCCCCTTGAGAATTGCAAAGAGCACAGAAACAGAAATATGACGGGAAGGCTTCGTTCTTGGAAGGAGTTGATGTCCCCAGAGCAAGAAACATCTAGCAGCTCAAATCCAGCCAGTGTAAGATAGGATACCCAGCCTCTTTCTGGACCAGATTATAAAAAGATGGTTTTGCAAGCCCTTTGAAAATAATGCAGCAATCGCCACGCGTGGGAATCCTGCATCCAGTTTTGGTCACCGCAATGTAAAAAATGTTGTGACTCTAGAAAGAGTGCAGAGAAGAGCAACGAAGATTGGAAGACTGGAGGTTAAAACATATAAGGAACGGTTGCTGGAATTGGGTATGTCTAGTTTAATGAAGAGAAGGACCAGGGGTGACAGGATAGCAGTTTTCCAATATCTGAGGGGCTGCCAGAAAGAAAGGGGGGGTTCCACCCAAAAGGCAGGACAAGAAGCATCGGATGGAAACTCATCAAGGAGAGAAGCAACCTGGAATTAAGGAGAAACTTCCTGACAGTGAGGACAATTATCCAGGGGAACAGCTTCCCTCCAGAACGTGCGGTCTTTAAGAAGACTGGACAGCCACTGGTCTGGAACGGTATGGTCTCTGCTTGAGCAGGGGGTTAGACTAGAAGACCTCCAAGGTCCCTTCCTGCTCTATTCTGATTGACCTCTGTGCTGATCGAGGGCTTGACCTCAAGGATCTTTCCCACTTTCATGTACTGCCAGATCCCTTGGCTATCTCCAGTGGGGCAGAAGCAGACGGTGGTGCTGCTGCCGCCCTTTTGCCAGTGTGATTGTGCATCAGTGCAGAGAACAGCCGGACACAAAGAGGCTCCATGGCAATCAAAAGACTTGACATCCTCCTTTCTCCTTCTCAGTCCGAGATATTTCTAATTAAGCCCATTACGCCATTCCCTCGGATTGGCTCAAGCGAGACTTCTGGCAAGATCTTGCAAGCCGAAAGGCCTGGGGGGGGGAGATGGGGGCTCAGATAAATGCCTGCAATTATTGCCTCGACCATCCTGACATGGAGGAAGAGTCCACCTGCGGAGGGGGCGGGACACCAACTCGGTGCAGCCACAGTCCAAGCTGCATTCGGCCATCAATCACGGGACATTAACGGCTGCAGCAAAGGCAGGGCCCCGTCCTCCTCCGCATGCAGAAGGACACTCTCCGGAGCAGCAGCTGGCACTCAAAGGGGGGGAGGGAGGGAGCCAAGCGTCCCAGTGCCAACTCGGCCTCCTCCCCCCCTCCGTGACCAGCAACTCTCACACAAGGAGCAAGGTTGGGGGGGGGGACAGAGGCTGGCCCAGCCATCCAGATCTTTCCCAGAGAGCTGGACATCAGCGGTCCAATCCAGCGGACTTTTTAGAGGAGAGCTGGGATAGAGAGGTCATCTCCGGTCTCCTTAAACAGAATAAGGGAGTTAAAAGGGAGACTGGAGGTGCTCTAGTCCAACCCATTCCATTCCAGACCAAGGGCTGTCCATTCCCTCCAGTGTTGGAGCACCCAGAGCTTCTGGAGGCAGGAGGTTCCACTGGTTGACTGTCAGGAAATTTCTCCTTGGTTCCAGGTTGCTTCTCTCCTGGGTTAGTCTCCATCCGTTGCTTCTGATGTTCAATAGAAGGTCTGGGCAGTCCTTGGGCTTGTGGATTCCTGCAACACCCTGGCAGTGGGTGAGGGGGAGGCCCTCTGCCCCCTCCCCGGACCCTCAGTGCCAAGGGGCTGTTTTTCAGTGGGGTGATCTCTTTTCTTTGTTTCAGGTCTCTGCACATGGAGGGCCCCATCCAAGCAAACCAGATTATGCAGAAAGGAAGCAACGTGATGCAGCAAGTGGGAGGAAGGAGCGGCAGCTGAGGAGGGGGCTAAATCAGGCTTAATCAACGCCATTCACTAGCCCTCTTCATCCACTGGTGCACCTGCTCCCTTCTGTTCAAAGCCGTGTGTGTGTGTGTGTGTGTGTGTGTGTGTGTGTGTGTGTGTGTGTGTTGTTTTGCCCCCGCCCCCTCCACTGCAATAAGAGGCAGAATGGCACAAGAAGGAGTTTGGGATCAGCAGCCTTAACAAAAAGGGCTGGGCTGGAATGAGCCCTTTTACTACCCAATTTTTCCCCTGCATGTTTCCTGGGCCTTTCCAGGGCTTGGGCAAGGGGCCAAGGGGAAGACTGGGGGATATAATCTTCAGGAGACAAAGAGGGCATCTGAAGGGCTGGTGCCCACGCCCTCCCCAGGAGAGCCAGTGGTCTCGGGGGCTTCTGTGCCAGGGCTAGAAGCCTCTTGAGATGACACGAGAGAGAAGATATGGTGGGTGTGACAGGAACCTGGCGGGGAGGAGAGAGTCAGAACAGGACATATAACGGAAGGACAGAGTTGGGAGGGACCTTGGAGGTCATCTAGTCCAACCCCCTGCTCAAGCAGGAGACCCTCTACCATCCCAGACAAACGGTTGTCCAGTCTCTTCTTAAAAACCTCCAGTGTGGAGGCACCCACCGCATCTGGAGGCAGGCTGTTCCACTGGTTAATTGTTCTCACTGCTAGGAAATCCCTCCTCACTTCCTGGTTGCTTCCGTCCTTGATGAGTTTCCATCCTTTACCTCTTGTTCTGCCCTCAGGTGCTCAGTCAGGATTACGTGGCCATCCCAGCAGACAAATTCTGCCGAAAGGTCCAGCAAAGGGGCACCTGCAAAGATCAGATTCCTTCACAGAATCACAGCGGTGGGCAGAAGGCAGTTGAATGTTTTTAAGAAGAGACCGGACACCCATTTGTCTGAAATGGTGTAGAGTTTCCTGCCTGAGCAGGGGGTTGGACTAGAAGACCTCCAAGGTCCCTTC